AATTTGGCATAATATTTGATATATACCTTTGAAATTTATTTGATTCGTCCAAGATCACAACAATCTCCAAGGCTTTTTTGGACTTTGTATATTTTGTTGTACGCCCTTGGCAAATCTTATGATTTACTCTAAATCTATCGACCCTCGCTGAAGAAGTTTTGAATTGGAAAATATTCGATTGAAATTAAAGAGCAGCAGCAGACGCCCATTGTTAAATAATGATTTCTTACACAAACCAAATGTATCTATTATAACTTGTTTTGCACAAGAAAATGAATATTCTTCATCACTGAATGTTTTATTTATATTAGCCATTTTATCTTCTGAAATATGTATAAATAATTATAAATATATATTATTTATGAAAAAAATGTTTTATTTTATTTTATCAATATGCAATGCAAATATTATTTTTAGAATGCTTTTTATAAATTTTACATATTTGTGTAGTATATGTAACAAATTAATAGTTATTATTATAATATTTAACCAAATAGATGTAAAAATAAATTTAAAAAAAATATAAAACGCGCGTAGATATAGCGCTTAGCGCGTTTTTCGCAATTTTTAGCAAAATTAGATTTTGTCCTTCATTATTCTTACCTCTGCTATAATAGAACAATATAAGATAAATAAAGAGGAATTAAAAAAAATTGAGTTATTAAAAATCCAACCACATCTGTAGTCTAAAATATGGTATAAAATATAACAAAATGAATGTAATGAATTTAATTATACTAAATAAATTCCACAGGTAATTTTCGTTTTAAACTGGTCGGCTGGCCTTCCAGCTACAGTTCATTGACTATTAGTCAGAATTAAATTCTTTGGAATATTTGTTTTTTATTTGGAGGCAATCTCTGATATTTGTTCTTGAATTATAGGTATGCCTGTATCTTCGTGAATGATCGATGTGGGCATGTACGTGGAGCATATAATAATTGTTTCTCTTCTATACCCTTCTGGCTTGTTAATAACATTTTATTTAATTTTCGTGTCCTTTGATGAAAAGCATTAATTTCAAGGCGTTGGACACCATTTGAATGGCCTTATCCATCCTCCTAGAGCACTTTCTTTCCAACACTTGACTTTTCATTTGATCATTAAAACTTTCTAGATACATATTGGTATTAATCCCTAATTTTTTCCGAAGACATGCGCCTACGTAGTTGCTCGTTTGCAGTAAACTTATCTAAAATATGCAAGAAATAACTTAGCATCGTCATCTGTCTGAAATTCATTCAGAAAAGCCTTTAAATTCTTCGAAAAATCTTTCTCACCTAAAATCATTTTTATTTTCACTAATTTCCTATAAATGACTTCGACTTTTTTCTCTATTTGCGATCTTATGATGATCTCTCTCTCTCTCTCTCTCTCTCTTCCGGCTCCTGGCCACATGCCAGGAGCATAAAACATTATGCTGTGGTGGCTCGCCCATGACACCTGACTATGCATTGAAATAAGGTGGAGCATCATCTGTCATGGAAGTCTTTGTTCTAATTATGAAACCTTAGAAACTCCTTGAATATATATTTTACATCAAACTTCATCCTACCTATTCGAAAAACAAAACGCGACTGGGACTCCGCTTCCATTTTGATTTTTAATTTGATTTTTTTTTTATATTTCTATCGATACATGGTACAAAGTCCAGTGTAATATGTTATGCATTACTACCAAATAGGTATTTTTGCAATTTATGTATGGTATTTAGGGAAATTTTAATAATCTAGTTATATATCAATATCAATAATGTTGACAGTAAGTGAAAAAAAAGTAAATGAAAAAAGGAAAACAAAAAAACACTATTCGCTCAAGTATAACGTACAACTAAGATAACACTAAAGCTTAATACTAACTAAAAATATATTATTATGAATAGGTGTAACTATATCTTTTCCAAATACTACTCCTCTATCAGGTGGTTTGGCAAGGCGTATTTGCCGTACCATATCATGTCTGTTGTAATTTAGGTTTTTTATAATTGAATTTGGGCTGTGTTTGCAATTTTCGAAGAATTTCGCCGTCATGTTGAGAATGGTCTCTTTAAAAGATTGCAGATTGGATTTTTCGTGAATATACTTACTAGATTTGTAGTGTTTGGTAATTGGATCTCTGTGCTCATTTAGTATTAACCGTAATACTTTATTTTATAATATTTGCAGTTTATGAATGTTGCTTTTACATGTGGTGACCCAAATTTGTGCCGCATAGGTGATTATTGGTCTTATTAATGTAAGATATATGGTCTTCTTATTTTTTGAGTTCGATGTAGTAGTGATTTTAGTGCGGTTATTGCAGAAGCGACAGATGCCCATTGCTGCACGATACAATTGTTAGATGCTTAACTTTAACATTCACTCAGTATTTATCACATAGATCAAATACCTCAACTCTGGCTAACTGAAATTAAATCACAAGTTAATATAATACACGCATATAATGATAACAACCAATAATATTTAGTCAGGATATATATATTTATTACCATTTAGATGTTTACGCCTCCGAGTCTAGTTAAGTAAGACCGAATATTTATTTATTTATTTACATGACAATCAAAAACAACATGGCGACTTATATGAAGTATGTACAAGATACAGCATAGACTTAATGTTGGTAGCTATGCTGGCGCGAATATTCAAGTCGCCAACATTCGGCCATCCTATAATTACTCGTCCTCGAGTAAATAATCGTCCAATCTGGCTGGTTTACGGCTGTGACGTTGGGGACGACTCCTGGGTTGCCTTGGTCCTTGGTGTTCCTCTTCTCCCGGTCCAGTGTCCTCTTCTCCCGGTCCAGTGTCCTCTTCTCCTGGTCCAGTGTCCTCTTCTCCCGGTCCAGTGTCCTCTTCTTCGTCGTTCATGGCAGGTGTCCAAAGTTTCAACTGTGACACATGAGCTGTGCTACGGTATCGTTTTCCCGTGGCATCATCCTGCATATCCACAATGCCATATGTGTCTCCTGGTATTATCCTGTAGACCACCATCGGTCCACGATATTTCCTTTGTAACTTTACTGAATCGCCTGTTACGACTGGTGCGGTTTTGACATAAACAATGTCGCCTATCTTGAAATGCACATTTCGGTGAGCGTGCAAGTCATATTTCTCTTTGACTTTTATTTGTGTCATTTCAATGTTATTACGAGCATCTTCTTGCAATGCGGTTGGCTCTGTGTACCGTTCTTCTCGTTCTGTTAGTTCACGTAGTAGCCCATCATTCCGCCTCGGTGTATACCCATACAATAGTTCAAATGGGCTTCGTCCCGTACTTTTATTAAATGACGAATTTAGATCCCATGCTACTGTCTTCAGTTTCTTGTCCCAATCCTTGCCAGTCTCGTCCTCCAGGGTTGCCTGAATCACAGGTAGCAGTGTCCGGTTAACTCTCTCAACCTGTCCATTGGCCTGTGCATGACGTGGAGAGTTCAGGGTGTGTCGGATTCCATGCCTTGTGCAGAACTCCTCAAATTCCTTGGCCGTGAAGCAGGTTCATCGGTCCGTTATTAACCTCAATGGGGCACCATAGGTCAGCACAAAGTCCTCCATCTTTCTAGTCGTAGTCCGTGCAGATGTATCTCGACATGGTTCCAACCTAACAAATTTAGTCAAATTGCATATTAGTACTAGAATATACTTATTTTGTTTACCACTTTTGATGAAAGGTCCCAAATGGTCTGCATGTACAATTTCAAAAGGTCTTTTGCCTGGAGTGATAGGATGCAACTCTCCCGCCTTTTTGCCAGTTTGGGCCTTTGTCATCAGACAGTGTAAACAGGATTTTATGTGCTGCCTTATATATCGTCGCATTCCTGGAAAGAAATAAAATCGTTGCATTTGATGCAACATACGGTCCAATCCAAAATGTCCCCCGTGGTCGTGAAACCTTATCGCCATCACCTTCCTCATGGTCTTTGGTATTACGTACTTCTCGCCGGTACCTGTGGATTTATAAAGTATACTCGACCTTACCAGATACCCTTCAACCTCTGACCTCTCGTGGGGATTCCTCTCACCAGCTGATTTGGATAATATTTCTATTTTTCTTTTCAGCAATGGGTCATGGTGTTGATATAATAACACCTCATCTTCTTCAGTTGTAATGCTGTAAACAGCTGCCACATCCTCCAGGTGTTCCATCGTAGATGCTTTTTCTGTTGGTGCTCTGCTTAACGCATCCACGTGCTGCATCTTTTCGCCTGGTCTGTGCTCAATGTCAAAGCTGAATTCTGATAGTATGGTATACCACCTCACAATCTGCGGGTTGCTCGTTTTGTTCGCGTTCAGGAATACTAGTGCCTGGCAGTCAGTAACTATAACAAAATGCAAATTTATTAATAAGCTTCGTAGTCTAGTCACTCCCCATATTATGGCCAATAATTCTAATTTGCTAGAATGATAATTCTTCTCCGGTTCGTTAGTTCGCCGGCTTATAGCATAAACTGGATGCATCAATTGGTCATCTCCTCTCTGTAAAAGCATGGCTGCCAATCCTAAAGCACTCGCATCAGTATGTAACTCAGTATACCTGTTTGGATCAAAAATTTTGAGCATTGGCCTGCTCGTTAATATATGCTTTTTATATCATTGAATACTTCCTGATGTTTCGTGGTCCATTCAAACTTAACATCAGTTTTGAGCAGGGCAGTCAATAACCTACTTCTCTCTGCAAAGCGTGGTACGAATCGTCGGAAGAAGCTTGCTAAACCTATGAATCTCCTTACATCATGCACGTTCCTAGGTGCAGGAAATTCTTCAATGGCTTTTACCTTCCGTGACCCTGGTTCTATACCGTCGCCAGAGATCTCCATTCCTAGATAACTCACTTTTTCCTTCAGAAACTCGCATTTAGATAGTTTTATTGTGAGTCCTGCTTCTTTTAGTGCCTCTAAGACTGCCACAAGTCTGTCTTTCAGATCATTCCAATCTCTGTCTGGAATAAGAATGTCATCTAAATAATACAACACAATCTTATCTCTTAATGGGCCCAATGCTTTGGTCATCCGAAAGGAAAGGAAAAATAAAAAGGTGCATTCATCAATCCGAACACCATCCTAGTAAACTGTCCAGTTTCATCTGGTGTGATGAATGCCGTTTTCTCCATCGCTTCCTTTGTTAATGGAACCTGGAAGTACCCATGAGCCAGATCTAAAACGATAAACATATTACTATTTGCCAGTAGAGCTAAATGGTCATCCATGTTTGGTAATGGAAAATTCATTCGTTCAGTCTGCCTATTCAATGCCCTGTAATCTACAACCATACGTGACTCTCCAGTCTTCTTTTTCGTTAATAATACTGGGCTTGCATACGGGGATTCAGTGTCTGTCACAATCCCAGCTTCCCTTAATTCTTCAACGATGCGACTGATCTCTTGTCTCTCTGTGTTGCTAGCTCGATAGGGTTTAGCTCTAACAGGTCGGCTACCTGCTATTTCCTTTATGTCTATCGTCATGCTGCTGGTAAGACCCAACTCCCATATGTTCTTTGAGATGCATGACCTAAAATTATTTAAAATTATTATTAATTCTTTTATAACTTCCCTAGGCTGTTCTCCTATGTTCAAGTCAGCTTCTACAATAGGTTCCATCTCAGGCTTCGTCTGACTACTTATTGTCCCAACTTGTCCTGTAAGTATTGTAGTTTCTTTAGGTAACAATACTGGTTCATGACTCAAGTTCAATACTGGAACTGTCAACTCCGTCTGTTCATCTGTTACTTGAACAAGATTTATTGTTTCTGGTGGTAATGTCATTTCACTGGTGGTTCTGAGTTTCTGTACAGCGCATTCCACCTCCATGTTGGCAAATGGGTAATCCCTATTATACATGAATGTTAGTTTGCCATTCTCCGTAGTATAATAAACATGTGCTAACTCTGTAAATGAAAGCCCAATGATTACATCCACTGTCTGTGCATCGTCTGGCACTATTCTGACAGGGACATCCTTCGCCATGACTCCGTCCACCTCCATTGTAACCATTATTGCTGCTGGCGACTCCAATTTGAAGTTTTCTGGCCCCCAGCTCTTGATCATCATTGGTCTCTGTACAACTCTGTACTCTTCTTTGTTCACCAATGAAGTCTTAATCGTACATACCGAACTGCCTGCGTCCACCATAGCCATAAATTTCTTGTCTTCTATGGTGACACTTTTAATGTATTTGTTTCCTGTCTGATCCTTCTGATCCATAATGCACTTCACTTCACCACTAGAATTTTTCGTGTCGGTTTCTGTTTTCTTCTTATTTCTTTCTGGGCAATCCCGCAAAAAGTGTCCTACCTTCCTGCATCGGTAGCATTTTACTTCTCTTTTTCGGGTTTGTTCACCTTCTTCTTTAACCTCACACTTCACTTTCGTGGTGGGTGCATATCGTGTTTGACTGCCTTCACACGACCCGAACTTTAAATCGTTTAATGCACTTTCGTGTTTTAAAATACTAGTACCAAGTTCGTCATAATCCGTGTGCTTCTCAGCAGCTAAAATACCATATAGCTGCTTGTCTAGCAGTCCATTGAGTACTTGTTGTTTCGTCTCCTCGAAACTCATGTGTAATGCCTGGCACAATTTTGTTTTGGAATGAAAATACGCATTGGCATCCTCAGACTTCAGCTGCTTCCGCTTTCTCATCCTTTCCCATTTAGCGGTTAGATTCTCTCCGCTTAGGATGAAAGCTTTCCTGAAGTGCTTTTTGAAATCATCCCAAGATTTCAGGTTCTGCTGCTTCATGTCATACCAATCACGGCCACCATTAATCAGTAGGCTCCGCGCATGTTCCAAAATGATGTTGTCCGGCCAGTTTCGCATAGTCTTGGTGCTGTCTAATTTTTCAAGCCACTCCTCTGCGGCTACACCACCTTTTCCACCATTGATATACCCTATGGTCTTTGTGAAGTCTGCCTCCGCGTGGAAAATAACTTTTGGCTCTTCAGTACGTTTCAATAACACTGCTATCATCTCTAACATTACATCCTCACGTGTTCGGCCGGTACTCGATCCCGCGGCGTTTATGGCACTCTGGAACATCTCGAACGCGTCTGTCTGCCTCTCCATTTTAATAGGATCTGAAACACAACAAACTACAAAATGTTCACAATCACAATCGCCTCCCACGATCAAAGTTACACGCACTAATCAAAATCGACACACGATTTCAACACAGTACACCCGACGCTAACCTCAAACACGTGTCTCGTTTGACACAACAAGACTTTTCTGAAAGAGAAACTCGTTAATAAACCTGAAACCAAAACGTTATTAAAACAACACAAACATTCACACTGTGGGGTTAATTCATTCGCACTTCTGAATTGTTAGATGCTTAACTTTAACATTCACTCAGTATTTATCACATAGATCAAATACCTCAACTCTGGCTAACTGAAATTAAATCACAAGTTAATATAATACACGGATATAATGATAACAACCAATAATATTTAGTCAGGATATATATATTTATTACCATTTAGATGTTTACGCCTCCGAGTCTAGTTAAGTAAGACCGAATATTTATTTATTTATTTACATGACAATCAAAAACAACATGGCGACTTATATGAAGTATGTACAAGATAGAGCATAGACTTAATGTTGGTAGCTATGCTGGCGCGAATATTCAAGTCGCCAACACAATGGATGCCAGATTTCTCTTGCATTGTCAGTATTTGAGTTATTTTCGCCAGAAGTAATCAAAATAGCCAAAAATGCATAAAATTCCTGCAGATTTTTCCACTCCAATTGTTTTTTTTTATAATTTGCATATGTTGAAATTGCCTTTTTATTAGTATGGCGAATAAATGATATCAGCCATTTCTTGTGTAAAAAATAATTTGAATGTATCCAGTGGTGTTCCTATTAGGTCCACATCTCTCTCGCACAATATTACGCCTCGCAGCTTGATGTTCTCTTGGCGATGTCGCAGCCCACTGAGTACCATCTTTTGCTGTCATTCCTTATCCCGACGCTTTTACTACACTTTCTTCATTTTCATTTTCTTCGTCTTCACTATTGACTTCAATTTCATTATCTATTATCCAAAAGAATATATAATTGATAAAACACAAAATACATTATAATTATCAACACCAGAGAAAACAGAACTGTTAATTACCTGTAACATTACAATCTGTAGCTGCCGCCTCAATTGGTGGAAAATACTCATCGTCACTACTATCCAATACGCAATCGTCATCAGATTTTTTTACTTCGGATGTTACCTCTAAATTCATATTTCTCTGAGAGCGAGTGACTCTGCTATAATAATTTTTAAAAAAAAATATTGAAAACATAAAATAAGTAATTTATTTTAAACTAAAATAAATAATCTTGCCTTACCGTGCAAAATTAGATGAACCAGCCATTGCTTTATGTTTAACACGATCGTTATAATAGTAATATTAATTTTGTATGTTTTCTTTCCATTTTCACTGTATATTTTGCACATCTATACACTACACTTGTAAAATTCCTAATGAACACGTTTATTTTTCGTTGGGAAAGGGTCATTTCAGGTACCGAAATATCGTTTGACCAGGTATTCCGCTATTATTATTTCTATGAGGACTATAAACTGTATCACTATAGCTATTTCATATGCAACATAGTCAGCTTACACATAAAAAAATGTAATTCACTGTACTAATGACTTATAATTCTACCACGCTATACGTGGGTACCCGGGTACCCGGTTATAGAACGAATGGTGAAAGTTTGGTTATTGACCGGACGGTTAAAGATGATAAATTTAGTTCAGCCAAATGCTTTGGGATTAGTCTGGTTCTTCGTTCAGTCAATGTAAGCCCTGCTTTTGAAAAAATTCTTTCACAAGGCACAGAAGTTGCTGTGATATTTATTCTTTTCCATACCAATTGATACAAATTAGAATAAATTAGAATTGAGAACCACCACATTAATGGATTTGAATGCGTGGCATCATTTAAATTTTTTACCATCTTTTGAATAACCGGTATTGTTTCTCTATCTTTATGAAAATCTAAATGTTGACACAAAATGCGACAAAATACAATTCTTTTAGACAGTGTCACGTATTTATCACCAGATATTTCAGTTGTCACTTCATAAAATGCTTTCAGAATAGGTAGACTGTGTTCAACTAATGCCCACTCTTTTGAACTTATAAAATATAACTTCTAATAAGGGCTATTGTGGCTTCAACATATCGTACGTTGAATTCCACTTTATCACATGTTGTTTCAGTTTCAACCCTGGCATATTCAGTTGTTTTTGCTTTTCTAACAATTTTATTTGCGCTGTGAACTTCTTTTAAAATATTCTACCACTTGTTTTATTTTTGTAATAATTACTTGTATTTCAGTAATTCCTGAAAAACGACACGATTTAATGCATGCCCAAAGCAACTATATGGGGCCGTTACCGCTTACCACGGCCTCAATTTTGTCCGATAATTTCCATTTATTTAGTTCTTTTGTTAAGAAACTGGTTACATTTATACCAGTGTGTCTTATATTATAATGCACGCAAATAATAAATTAACACATACATTACCATTTTCACCTATATAATGAGCTGTTATTGTCATATAACTTATCATTAGTTATTGATGTCCACGCATCAGTTGTGAGGCATATTGAAGTCGTTTTTGCTATTTTTTCACGCACTTTAATTAATTATTTTCCATACATCTGTGGCAATAAAGTTTTAGCCAATGTTTTTCGATTCGGTACATTATATCTTGGATTCAACTTTAATAGCTTTCTAAATTCAGTCCCTTCAATATTTTGAATTGAAAGATATTCTTTTGCAATCATCTTGACTAATTGTGCATCTATTTCAGCAATTTGGCGCATGGGTAAAGGATTAGTATTTTGCAAATAACTACTGATAACATTAGAATTATTTTTCATTGTATTAGTTGGATTTGAATCTGATGTACCAACTTCTGAAGTTTTTAACGCAAAAATATTATCCAATTATACAGTCTCGCGACGCATTGCCGGACAAATCGCTATAGTGGGGTGTTTTCTTTTCTACTGCCTTAATAAATTTCCAGTATTTGAAGATAAAATCCGCACAATAATTGCATTTTTCTTTATTATCTTTTAAGGAAAATCTCTAATCACTTGCAATCACTGATTTTGTTATACACAGAATATACACATTAACACAACAGTTTATTGTTCGATTACTTGGTAACTTGCAAAATTTTGAAAAAAAAACTAATTGCTATCGTCGAGAAGGCTAAGATAGAACTGATGTCGAAGACGGAGTCCTACTAACAATTAGCTGGTAATTTTTTGCCATAAAAAGTCAACAAGGCATCAGTCGACAAGAAAATTTATGAATAAATATAAAACAAAAATTATTCTAAAAAATTCACAAATAAATGACGGAAATAAATGACGAAAAATTGTAAAATTTTTCGGTTGACCAGATGATCGACTCAATGACTCGTAATTTTAGCAGTGTAGACCAAAGTAAAAACGCAAAACTTTAGAATCAAATTCAATTTAATTATCAATTGCAAATTCAATTTAATAATTATTTGCAACAGTAGTATAATTCCTATAGCGCTGATTCGCGAATCTGAAACATTCTAGCGAAGCAGCTTCGAAGACTTGATAGTTGTTGGCTGCAACTAAAACAAAGAAGTTATTAGTCAAGGTTAATAATACTTTTTACTTTTACATTTTAATTTACTGCAAAAATACCTCTCATAATTTTAATTAAAAAATAAATCTTTTAACGGCCACACCATATACACTGTGCAGCTAACTCCTTTATGAACAAGTTTTTATAAAAAAAAATTACTAGCGTCTGCCTGCTCCCTCCAATGTGAGTAAAATACTTTAGCTGAAAATAGAGTATTGCAAAATTAAATTCAAAAATTTTGTAAGAACATTAAGTACAAGAAAACTCACTAGTTCATTTTGGAAAAGCACTTCGCAGGCTTTAATGTTTTCTATAGTTTTCTATAGTTTTTAGTGGAAACAACTTCTAACAAATATTTCCATATTCCTCCTGCTGGACACTATTATGAAGTAATGCTTTGATAGCAACTTATCAAGGCACCATTGTATATTTTACTTTTCTTTGCGAAGTAGTGAAAAGAATTTATTGAAAAATTTATAAGAATAAAAATAATTAAGACACGATCACTATGAATCACTTACTTTCTATTTGTGTCAATCTTTCCATCCAGGCCTTTACATGCAGAGGTCCCTCTGTCTGAGTGCCTTGATCAACAGTGTATTGTTCTATAGTTATGGCCTGCTTCTTCCTTGCCATCTACCCGTAATATAAGCTTAAATTCAATTCTGTGTCGGCTGCAAGAGCATTAGTCAAATATATTTTAATATGATGCAAATAATTTTATGAAAGTAACTATTCACAATAATCTTCCTTTTCCCGAACCTTATCTTCAAACACCAGCACATAAAAGCATAACTCGTGTTCTAGAAAATCGAGAAAATGGTTTGCGATTGTTTTTTTTTTATTAATTTATAAATATACTAACATGTGCCACTATTCGAGCTTTCACTTACGGATACTCTAGGATATTAAATAGTTTAGTTGTATGTGCTACTATTTGAACATACATAATTTTATTTGTTTGAGTTTCTTGTTGAACAAAAATTAATCTTAAAGATTTGCGCATCATTTCAAGTACAAAAAACTATTCAAATTAAGTATTGTATTGTTGATGTAAAGTGTCGATAGTTTTTTTTAAATTGTGTGTTTTTTTATATTAAATATGTGTCGTCTTTGAATATATAAAATTTGTTCAAATGTATAGAGTTTGGATAGAAATTGTAATTGCTGAATGCTAACAAAACAAACTGGGAAATGATAGGAGAAAAATAAGATTATGATGATAGTAATGTTATAAATGAAATAATATAATAATGAAAAATTATTACAGTGATGAAAAAATATAATGGACTATTGAATTAAAGTAAAAACGTTGTTATTATAATTATATTACAGAAGTTATGAAAAGAACTTATAGATATAATTATCTTAATTTATCAACAATAGATCGCGAAAGAGGGTTAATACTAATAATCACTGAT